TTCAGATAAATAACACTGTCTACTTGCACCCACTGTTCTCACACACACACACACACACACACACACACACACACACACACACACACACACACACACACACACACACACACACACACACACACACACACACACACACACACACACACACACACACACACACACACACACACACACACACACACACACACACACACACACACACACACACACACACACACACACACACACACACACACACACACACACACACCTGGCAGCGTCTGTTGATGCAGGGTTTGGTGGAGGTGGTCCAGGAAACTGAGCTGTTGTAAGTTCGTCCGTCCAACATGCACCCTGAGAGAAGCAGAGAGAGAAACCGTCATAAACTATTCATTTTATACAATTCAAGACATTGAGTCTAAATCTATGCAGCCGTGTAATCATCCCATCAAGTGCACATCCCTATTAGTTCCACTTATTTAAAAGCATTGTTGCAAGGAAGTACAAATGTGATTTATGGTTTAAATTCACCTCTGAAGTTGCAAACATTACTTTCTTATGAGACATCTAAGTGTAATATTGCCGATAATCACACACTTTTTGCAATTTAAACTCAAAATTGAAGAGTTAAATAATGTAAAAGCCAATTTCAGGTTGTAGTAACTTAATGAAACTGGCTTGATTCTGTCCGTTTGTTTCCACCCTCTCGTTCTCGCGTTACACGCCCGGACAGATTCAGACGCTCAGTGCTGAATGAGAAGCTATTCATTTCATTACAGTCAGTGGGCTCAGATCAATGTGATGAAACCTGATCACTAACATTGATCTGAGGAAACCAAACCGTGTAATACAGTAGAAACATAAAAATATGAGATTAGATGGCAGGAGGTCCCGCAGAGACTCAACCCTCTTCCTACAGTCAGTCCTCACTAACGCAGACTAAATGACAACAGGAGAGGTGAGAGAAGTGATTGTACATTTTCTCATGATCCTTTAAAAAAATGTTCTACATATAATGCAGTTTTTTATTATCTTTTATGAATCCAATATAAGTTGAACTTCCTACTATAACAATATCCACGGGTTAATTAAAACGCTATAAACCCCAATTTGTCCCCAATAAACTGACCCAGTCTCTCTTTAGGATTTCATGATTAAGTGAGAAAGCAGAGATGTGACATGTTGGAGTCGGGGGTCCTAAACTCGGTCACGGTGACCACACAACAGAAAACTAACACAGGTTGTCATGACGACGAGGGGCTTTCCGTGTCCGAGTGTAGTCTGCTAACGAAGTGTTGCGTCGTAAAACTGAACCACAAACAAAAGAGCCGCACCCTGCTCAGAGCTAGGTGTGTGTGTGTGTGTGTGTGTGTGTGTGTGTGCGCACGTGCGTGCATGTGTGTGTGTGTGTGTGTTGTTATATTTATATAGAAGGCACATAGCTTTGATAGCTCCAATAGACCAGAAACTGCAGGAACATCCTCAAAAGTCAAAACATTTTAGTGGCCGCCTTTAGCATCTGTTAGCACGTTTAGCATCTGTTAGCACGTTTAGCATCTGTTAGCACGTTTAGCATCTGTTAGCATTTGAAGTAACATGGAAATGACGGAAGACCTACTTCTCAACTTGTGGAACATCAGTGGAAAAACATCAAACACTAGAAATATTATTTTATTTAAAAAAAACATTGCGTTACAATTACAATTCATAGCGCCTCACTTCCATTTTTATTTTGGGTTTTTGGTTTAGAGATGATGTTTTATTACTAATATATATATATATATTTATAGTTTACTTACTCATGATTATTATTATACAAAATATAAAAAATTAGATGAAGTAAAAATATTTTATTTTCAGTTTTTGGCGGTAATTTAGAAGGGGTTTCAATAAGAAAGCCATACTAGTAATAATTTATGTCAGAGTTTAATTTGTATTGTTATTATTTATTCATCTATTATTAATTATTTTCTTCAATTTTTGATTGATAACCTGATAAGCAAGTTTTAAAAGCACTCATTAAATGTTCAGGGGGCACTGTAGTGTCAGACTGATCAGCTGAGATGAATTTGGGCGTCACATGACTGTTTACTTAATCAAACCTTTACCTGTGGATGTTGATGTCTTTGTTGTTTGTTTACTCTGTATTTGTGTCTCACCTTTACATCGCTCACAGCAGGCGCCGGTCTGTTTCACCACCAGAGCACAATCCTCAGAAACCAGAGGACATTTCTCCTGCTTACAGTCCGCCTTACCCTCCTGGAGAGAGGGAGAGAGGAGGGGGAGGAAGAGGAGAGAGGAGGAGGAGGAAGAGGAGAGAGGAGAGAGAGAGAGTTGGTTAGTGAGTTATTTTCAACACATGGTTTCCCATTGTTAAAAACGCAGTCTCTTCTCTGTTGTCGTTCAGTTAGAGTTCTGATTGAGGTGGAAGTGAAGCCTTAATGTTAAATAAATGTAATCCAGTTCTTTACACACTGTATTATCCAATAAAGACATCTGAAAATCATATATATGTTATTATATAGGACTTGTAATGTGTTCATGCCAGCAGATAAACCAGCGTGATGAAAACTCAACATGTCAGAAGTCTGCAGTGTGTCTATAAAGTATAGACGACCCAATGTTCGCAGTTTAGCTGTGAATTTTCACACCAACTCCACAACCCCCCTGCCACCTTCAGACGCTCGCCTGCAGCGTGGGACCGCGCCTGTTTAATCCACTCCACTTTCACACCCAGCTTTTATTGCTGACTTTATCCACATGCTGTGTGTGTGTGTGTGTGTGTGTGTGTGTGTGTGTGTGTGTGTGTGTGTGTGTGTGTGTGTATATGTGTGTTTTTTTTTACACACTGTGAGGGTTTATAAAGTGCAGGCTGGCTCTAACGAGGACGGATCAAAGGGACGGCGAAAAATAAATCGGGGTGGTTTAATATAGCAGCAGCAGCTCCAACTTAAACCCCAACCACACTGAGGACATGAAGTCATGAAGGGAGGAGAGGGAAGAGAGGAGAACGTTAAATAAGTAGTTAGATAAAAGAGGAAAAGGGACTCAATCTGCTTTTGCACACTCACATTCTCCCAGAAACATATGGGACATTTTATGAGAAAATACACTAAAGTCAATATTCTGCAAAAGTAGAATGTGACGATACATTGGGTGAAGTTGTTTCAGGCTATACGCCGATTTCTGGGTATTATAATTGGCAATTTTCAGATGTCATTTGTCCTACATTTATGAGCTTAACCAACCGCCGTCTGACCACAGCAGCCTCTCACTCACTTTAAAAATAAAACGGGGAATTTAGACCACAGAGGTGAGAGTCTGGTCAAATGAGCAGCGGTGCAAGAAGCTGGAAAATGTTGGGAAGTAGAGCTTTAACCAAGAAGTATCGTATTAATTTCATCGCTCTACTGTCAGTCAAAATATAAATCTTTTTAATCTTCATATGTTAGTTTAAAGTGACTACAATAAAAAGCAACTTATACTGTACTGTGTGCATTTCTTTGTGCCTAATGCTATCATGTTTCTGAATGATTATGCTTTTGATTAAGAGCTTTGTCAATTTCAGGGTTTAGTTTTTAATACATTTTACGACATTAACCGATTGTTGTATTTCTAAGGATAGGTGGAAGTTTCTCTTGTGTCAAGAAAAAAGTAAAGTGAAGGTGAATCCTCAGAAAAAACAGCACAACATCCTGGTAACAACAACATCCGCTAAGCTAAAGGAGGCTAATGTTGGGCTATAAAGGAACTACAGCACGGTCACATGACTTCACATCACCACTGCTAAGCTAAAGGTGGCTAATGTTGGGCTATAAAGGAACTACAGCACGGTCACATGACTTCACGTCACCACCGCTAAGCTAAAGGTGGCTAATGTTGAGCTATAAAGGAACTACAGCACGGTCACATGACTTCACGTCACCACTGCTAAGCTAAAGGTGGCTAATGTTGGGCTATAAAGGAACTACAGCACGGTCACATGACTTCACATCACCACTGCTAAGCTAAAGGTGGCTAATGTTGGGCTATAAAGGAACTACAGCACGGTCACATGACTTCACGTCACCACCGCTAAGCTAAAGGTGGCTAATGTTGAGCTATAAAGGAACTACAGCACGGTCACATGACTTCACGTCACCACTGCTAAGCTAAAGGTGGCTAATGTTGGGCTATAAAGGAACTACAGCACGGTCACATGACTTCACGTCACCACTGCTAAGCTAAAGGTGGCTAATGTTGGGCTATAAAGGAATTACAGAACGGTCACATGACTTCACGTCACCACCGCTAAGCTAAAGGTGGCTAATGTTGGGCTATAAAAGAACTACAGCACGGTCACATGACTTCACGTCACCACTGCTAAGCTAAAGGTGGCTAATGTTGGGCTATAAAGGAATTACAGCACGGTCACATGACTTCACGTCACCACCGCTAAGCTAAAGGTGGCTAATGTTGGGCTATAAAGGAACTACAGCACGGTCACATGACTTCACGTCACCACCACTAAGCTAAAGGTGGCTAATGTTGGGCAATAAAGGAACTACAGCACGGTCACATGACTTCACGTCACCACCGCTAAGCTAAAGGAGGCTAATGTTGGGCTATAAAGGAATTACAGCACGGTCACATGACTTCACGTCACCACCGCTAAGCTAAAGGTGGCTAATGTTGGGCATGATGACGTTTAGTCGTCTCATTTAGACACTTTTTAGCAACCGTTGTTTTTTTACATTCACCAGTGGGGTATTTACTGGCATATTTTATATCGTAGAACCAAACATTAAAATCTTGTGTTAACCACAGACCTTATTTCCGTACAAAATCATTTCCCATTTACTTGCAGAATGGTAGAAAACTTGGCATTTGTTTTAAATGAACAAACAAAAACCCCTGAATGGTCATTTAAAGAACCAAGGTCATATCCTTCTCTCTCCCCCCTCTGTTATCCATTAGCCCAGGGTTGTGTGAGGTGGTACATGTGACCCCTCCTCTCCCCCCCCCCCCACACACACGCACACACACACACACACACACACACACACACACACACACACACACACACCACACACACACACACACACACACACACACACACACACACACACACACACACACACACACACACACACACACACACACACACACACACACACACACACACACACACACACACACACACACACACACACACACACACACACACACACACACACACACACACACACACACACACACACACACACCACACACACACACACACACACACACACACACACACACACACTCTCACCCCTCTTGTCTCTGGGTCAAAGGTCGCGCCGGGTCACCACGCCTTATAAACACTCAACATACCACCGAGGCCGGACCGCTGGACGGCTGTCTGTCGCCGAGGGTGACCACCCCCCAAACACACACATATATATACACACACAGTGGGATAACGCGTTGGTATGCTCGTAAGTGTGTGTGTCAGAGAAAAGGAAAGTGGTCAAGTGTTTAGATGCTACTGTTCTGAGACGCAAGGAGTTTGAATATGTTTCGTAAAATCATCTGAATTCTATGTTTTTTTTTAATCTATTTCAAACTACTGCGCCAAAATTAAATTAGCCGATTTCCTAATAATAATTTAAAAAACTGTCTTCTGAGTTTATGGTGAAATTCACAAAGCACGTTCAGGAGGAACATCCCTGAACAAGGTTTCAGTGTGAGACAAAAAAAAGTCTTAAAATCAGATCTTATAAGTACAGCATTTTAAATTCAATCAGTTGAATTCAATCATTTCTAACTCGTTTAGTGAATGTTAAGGTCAACTACAGAAATGCAGTTACACAAAGTTCATGTTCTGTTCAGCTGCAGAAAAAAACACTGTCTAAGAGTTCATCCTCTGTGCTTTTTCCTGCTTTAAAAGTCATGGAAAATGAGGTTTTTCAGGTTATGAATATGTTATGAATATCAATTTCAAATCAGTAAAATGCTGATATTTATGTCATTATATGATTTTACTTTACTATTGGTTTGAATAAACAAGAATACATATATTTCTGTGTCTATAAAATCTACCGGAAATGTTTCAAGAACCTGAAAAGCTAAAAGGAGATCTCAAATATTTCTACGTTTGAGAATAAATGTCAAAAAACATCAGAATAAATATATATGCCTTATGTCTTTGTGGAGCCAAGATGACTATAAGCTGTGTGCATGAAATATATTTTAAACACACCAATAAATAAAAGGCTTTGGCGTTTATGTTTGCATGTGATTGTGGATTTTACTGATGTTACATAATGTTCTGAAATAGTGTTTTATTACACATAAATGAAAAAGCAAAGTGATAAAAGTGCATTTTAGATTCATACTCAAAAGTCAACATGTCGATGTACTCTTGAGCAAGATACTGAACCCTGCTGAGTTGCCTCTGATGGACAAACGTGTGTGTGTGTGTGTGTGTGTGTGTGTGTGTGTGTGTGTGTGTGTGTGTGTGTGTGTGTGTGTGTGTGTGTGTGAATGTTAGCTTCAAAGAGCAATTGGCACTATGAATGAGGTGTGAATGGGTGAATGACTCGTAGTATGTAAAGCACTTAGAGGCGTCGTAAAGACCTGATAAAGCGCTAAATAAGTACAGTCCATATACCATTTAATTGGACAGAATCTACAGAGACATCATAAAAAACAACTTTCAAAGTCAATTTGAAACCAAACTGGTCGTTAAAACATTGACAGAAACTAAAATCTCCGTCCTTTAACATTGTAATCCACATGTAAGACCTCTTCTTGTGTTGATTAACGCTGTCAGTTATTCTGTTGTGCCACTAGGAGGAGACAGCGCCCACTATTTCTCCTCCTCAGTGTTTATCTTCTTCACTTCTCCTCATCGTCACTCTCAATCATCCATCACTTTATCTTCCTCTGAATGCAACCATTGGAAGTAGCAACACTTAATTGCATAACTACTCAAGTAAAAGTCCTGCATTAAAAATAAGTATAAAGTGTGCCATTAAAATATACTTTAAGTAACAAAAGTAAAAATGTAAAAGCCCATTTTAGAATAATATATATACATATAAAAGACTGGATTCCGATTATCGATGCATTAATGTCTTCATCACAGCTGGTGGAGGTGGCAGTGGAGACTATTTTTTAATTACGTTATATTCTGCTCCTATCTCTCCTATCTATATGTCAAGATATTGATTGATTGATTGAAAAGTTTATTAACAGCTTGTATATTGGGTACAGTACAGTACAGCTCAAAACAT